CCAGGCTACTGCCCTCCCACGCAGCAGAGTCGCAACAAGACCCACGCGGTGTTCGTCGGGCACGTCCTTGTAGTCCAACACCGCCTCGACTGAGCCAAGCCAATCGAGAAAAGCAGCCCCATCGAGCCCTCCTGAAAATTCCAGAATCTCCACGCGGAAGGAAGCCTCCCAACGACTCACCCGCCGTTGTTTCTTCGACCCGTGGCTGCTCTATCCCGAACGGGTTGTAATCCACCTCTGTGGCATCAGAATCCTCGCCGTCCTTCTCCTCACGCGGCGTTCTCTGCCTGCTACCAAAATGCGGCTGACCACGACCCCCGCGGCCACCACGCATCCCTCCGCGACCGCCGCCTCGTCCGTCGAGCCCGTCGCGGTTCGTGCCGTCGCGTTGCATCATTGAGTGGAGAGCCAGTCGGATCTCTTCCATGTCACGCCCTAGAGCCTGAAACTGCCGCCCGAAGCCCTCGCCTTTCCGTGTGAGAGATTCAATCGCAGCATCACGCCTGTCGTCAGCAGTGTCGTTCCTATTGGGCGGCATCGTGGATCGTATCTGGTCTCTGGATACCAACTGATGTAGCGAAGCGATCAACGAAAGGAACAAGAGAGAAATAAATCTCAAAATCTTACGATGTTTTTTATTTTCATTCAAAGCCATCGTGTGAGCCTTAGAAAACAGATATAAATAGAGTTCTAAACAGTCTCAATACCTATTTTGCTAGACAAATAAATACACACTAAAATAATTATTTTTCTACCAACTTAATAACATAAATAAAGGAAATAATAATAACTAAAGAAATAAATAATTAAACTACTAAATAATTAGATTAAAACTGAGATTGGATCGTATTTTTCCAGAAAAAGCAAGCGCAATCTCGTCTCCATCATCACCCATTTATCATTCCATGCAAAGAGTCAAATTGAATTTGTGTTTTGCAAAATGAACGACAGAAAACCCTCTAAACTGTGCCTTTCATCATTAGTGGCCTTTGACAAGTTGCAAAATATAGCAAGAATTTTTCAAACTTCCATAGATTTTATCTCTGGTTTTCTTGATGGATGTTCCATCGTAAGACGTAGACAGGTAAGGTGTAATACTAATAAGTGGGTCCATTTTAGAGGGGCAAGAAAGAGACTAAAGTAAACAATTATTAAGGGACCAAAATATGAATTTATAAGAAAATTTAGTTTTATAATGATTTAATGGTTCTATTTTCCCTAAATGAAGTGACGTAATTGGGGAAATCAACAGTCCCAAAAACCATTTTAGGAAATCAATCTAAAGTTGAAAGTGACGTTATTGGGGAAAAAATGTACGTCTTCCTAGCAAACTGTTCACCAATCACTTGTAAATCTTGTTTAAATTAATTCTAAAGTTGAAATGAATAAGGTTGAGCTTTTGTAACTAAAGAAATATTAAATCTGTTGGTGTATCACGTGTGAGTTATCCCACATTGATTTGATAGGATAAATGATTTTAGTCTATAAGTCTAGTTGACTACTCTTTCCATCACCAATTGGTTTTGGGATGCGATTTTATTTGAATTTCATTTGGACTAATCCTCTTATGGTCTACTTCAACTATATGGGATCACACTCGTTTTTAAATCGAGTGTACTTCAACTATATGGGCTAACCCCCTCTTTTTTTTTTTTTTTTCGCAGCAAACATGTCAGGAAAGGTGTATTTTGAGTTTCCACCCTTAAAATTTCTGGTGATGTCTTTCTACGTCTATAAATACACGTATTTAATTTCTACAATACTAGTTCAATTACAAACTTGAAGAACATATTAACCGTATTTAATATATGAATAAAAAATAACAGAAATTGATTTCTCAAAAAATAAATCCTTCTTTCCGTTGTGATTTTCTTTTAAACAATGCTCATCCTCACTAGAAAAAATAAACCAAAGAAAAATGAGAAAATTACGTCCCTTACTCATCATGTGCTAATTATTATCAAATCTATGAATTGAGTATCTTAAATTCATGTATACGAAATTTAATTAATTAAAGCAAGTATGATATATATTAGAAGTTATTTTCTAGCATAATTCTAGGAATCATCACTAATCTCTCTCTCTCTTTCTCTCTCACCCTCATCTCTTTCTTCTTTTTCCGTTCTTTCATCTCTCTCACACATCCTATACTAAAATTTAATCTCTCTCTCCCTATCTTTCTCTCTCACCCTCATCTCTTTCTTCTTTTTTCGTTCTTTCATCTCTCTCTCACATAACCTATATGTAAGCAGTCGCGACCCGCTTTCCGACGACCACCATCGTCCCCGAGTAATGCAACCGTCCGCGCTAGGAGCAGCATCGCCATTCGTCCTCCAAGCTGCCCTTCCATGAGCCACCGACGGTTCTCTGAGCGAACAATCCGCCATCACAAGCTCAACCGAGTCGAGTACCTTACAGCAGCCATGTCCGCCATCACCGCGAGGACTCAGTCCGTGAGTCGGCCGCCGTTCGACGTGGCAACCTGACCGTTCGCTCCGAGAAGTTCGTTCGTTGCAGCCAAGATCTGTCCGAACTTTAAATGTCCATTCGAAAGAGTATAGTAAACATATACACAAATTATATGTTAGTTATACACAATCTATACTGTGTTGTTTTTTGGAGTGCGCAAAGTTATTGGTTGAACCTTGTAAATGACATGTAAAGTACACATTTGTTGTTTATCATATGTATAACTACATTCGATTTGAATTTTGCAGTCATTCAAAATTGTGAATTATGTTTTATCCCGTTATAGTGTTGTTTATATGTTCTTTATCTTATGTATAACTGTACGATTAATATTAGAAAATTATGAGATCATGTTTATCTGATGTATATATATAGTATATCTAAACATATATTCGCACTGCAATCATTAAAATAATCAAACACTGGACACAATATCAACAATTAAACACTAACTACAATTTCGTCAAGTATGTACAGCAAACATCATAGCAACTTTAACTTTAATGTTCAGATAATAACATAAAATATACTCATGTAAGGGTATGGGGATAAAAAGTGTTGACCGTATCGCATCCATCTCACTATCAGGCACTTACTTGTAAAGTGACTCGTAAATAGTCATCAATGGGTCTCTCTGTAAAACCCCAATTCAATACAACCTCAGGAGTATCCTTCTTAGAAAACAATCCAAGAAAAAAAATGAAAGAAAACAAGAAGCAGCAAAGCTTACAGCCTAACATGTAAATCCCGCTTCGATTTTTGATTTCTTGATTAACTGGTATCGCATTTGTCATGTTTATTTTTATTTTTATGAATTTTCTGTTACTTGTGCGTGAATCTCGCCCACTTGAATGCCATTATCAATATATGGAGAGAGAAAAAAGAAATCTTCTAATATAAATCACGTACAATTGAAATAAAAATCCCTTATTATTCCTGTTTTGATTAATGTTTGCAAGAATGGTATATTTGTAAATATCTCTAGCCACGTCTCCATGTACGTAATTTTCTCAAGAAAAATAAAATAGAAACTCTTGCCCCAAACTCGGTATAGTTTAGGGCTAAAAATGCAACACTAAAACTACGGCCCAATATTATTTGGGCCTTTTCGTTCAAAATCCACTAAAAATCACACAAATAATACCAACGCGAAACCTCCGCAAAATCCCCCCTTTTCGCAGTCTAGGGTTTCTGATTTTCTCCATAGAAGCAAAATCAGAACCTCTGATTTCAATTTTCGCGCACACGGTAAAGAGTAATGGGAGGAAAGTGCCCTCACCGGAGCGTGAGAAAGCGCCGATACTCGCACAAATCCGCGAGGCGCACCAAATTTCTTCTCAAAGATATCCTTTTTTACTGCGTGTTTATGGATATAGATGTGTCTGTATATATGTATATATATATATATATATATATATATGTATCTTTGTGTTTTTGTTGCTGATTAATTGTTCCAATCAAGCTTGTTTATCTTGACTTGCTATTGTTCACGGGACGACGCCGTTTATGACGAGCTTCAGAAAGTGAAGGGGAAGGATAAACCCTTGCCCGTAGATGAAGACCTTCCCGGGATGGGCCAGTACTATTGCTTGCATTGCGAGTAATTTACAAGTTCCCAGTTTTCTTGATTAAATTTTGTTTTTGGTGTTGATTTTTGCTGAGAAATGGAAATGTTTGTGTTCCCTTTTTCTTTTTAGCTCACATGGGATTTTTTTGGTTTCGTATTGCAGTCGATATTTTGCAAACTCGACGGTGAGGGATGAACATTTCAAGACCAAACGGCATAAGAAGCGGTAGTTTACTTGTACACTACATCTTTTTCTATTTTAATTGTTTTGCCTTATTTGATAAAATTGTAGCCTGGCCCTGTTTTTATTTTCTGTTGATTTTGTTGAGTATTTTTAGTTAATTTGGGGAAATTAAGTTGTAGTTTTAAGCATGAAGGTTGGTGATTTATTCTAGTTCAAGGGCTATTAAGGGAAAATCATGTCGAAGCATTCAAGTTTTACTGTAGATTCATTTTGCATGAACTTCAGTTGTGTAAATTGTAGAACACTTTTAGTTGCTGTATGGATTAAGTGAAAAAAAAAATTTGCGCGAACTTAGAATTAAGTGGAATAATGGGTTTCTTTTATTTGAAGTAAATCAGTGCAAACTCATCTTTCACAAACAGATGATAATACGCCATGCGAGAATTAAGTAGATGTATGGGTTTATTTCATTTGAAGTAAATCAATTTAAATACATTTTTGACAATCAAATGATAATTGCATGTATACATGTTCTCTAAGTCTTCTGAGTTAGATGCTGATTATGATCTACCAATAATTCTGAATTTACTTTGGACATAGGAAGTAAACTGCACTAAAACAGTTGAGACCAAAAGTTTTCTTTTACGCTATTCAAGTCCTTGAAGGACTTTACAAGTACTAACCTTTTCAGTTAGAGAGTGCTGATTTTAATTTTTCGTACACAGTTTGAAGCTGATGATGGGACCTGCTCCACACACCCAATTAGATGCCGATCTTGCTGCTGGGATGGGTATGCCTGACAATGGCCCAAAGTTGATGTCCATGTAAAATACTTTCATGATCTTTTGTGATTTTGGCTTATGAGCAGAATTTTTCGAGAGGTGACTACGAACTATTTATGAGTTGATTTCGTATGATCAAGGTTTAGTTGTGGGTAGACAGACTTTACTGACCTCATATGATATTTACTAGGTGTTACACTATTTTGTTCAGTTGTTTCTGTTACATGCAAAATAAATTGTCAAACCGATTGTGATTTCGTTTATGTTGTATCACATACTATTTTTCATTTGTTTCTGGTTTGGTCTTCAGTGACCTCATATGTGTGCTGTATGACTTACACCAAAACTGCCCTGTTTGTGTGATGTTTGATTGTGTGTGAAATAAAAAATAATGTGATGTGTTTTGTTTGGGTAAGAGGATTGTTTTCAATCAGGTGGCATTAGTTTGTTTGAGCAGTGACGAGACATTGATTTATAGAGATCAAGAGATCAGATCTTCTGTTCCATGTACATATCTTCATCTCGTGTTTCGTCGTGAATGTGACGTGTACAAAATATGACATCATGTACACGTCATTCATTCTATTGAATGAAGCACGAAACGGAATACAAAATTGGAATAGAATTTTCATTCCTGATTGCCAACTTATGCAAGAAAAAACAGGCAAACTGATGAATATATTTCGCTGGGCTTATATGTCTAGGCTTTTGGATTGGAAATCCTGTTTCTTTAGCATGGGCCGTATTTGTAATTGAGGGGCCATTAGCAGACCTTTTCGGCCCACCTGATTTGATCCTTGTTTTTCTTGGCGTTGGGTTGGCTTTGGCATTTGGTTAGGACCATAAGACGTATTCGTATTCTGTAGCCAGTATTGGATTCTTTTTACCCGCTGCATTTATCATTTGAAGACTTTGGGAAATTTAATTCTTAAATCTCCGTAGAATTGTTTTTGAACACTTTTTGTGAACAAATTCTTGCAAAATGCACTTGAGCTCATTGAGTTGAGTTGAGGATTAAACTGATTGAGTATGAGTCGAGGGTTAACCTTATCGAATATGGCCCAATGTTTGGGCTGTTGCTTGAGCTCGAGGTCGATGAGCTCGAATCAACCAAAAAAAAAAAAAAAAAATGCAATCGCTTGTATTTGCACAAATTTGATCTACTCGAGTTCAACTAGAAATTCAATAAAAAAATGTGTAGTTAGGGGTATTTAGGTTGTTTTTATGTATATCAAGCAACTTGTCGAGGACATTGAGCTTGCAAACTATAAGCTCGATATCACCTCGAGTATAAATTCGAGGTGTTCAAATTTGACTCGAGCATTGACTCAAGCTCTCATGAGTAGCTCGACTCGTTTGTGTCCTAAAATGAACCGTCGTGTTCAGAAAATTAACATAATTTATACATTAAAGAAAACAAAACAAAAAATGGACCCTACCCATCCATGCACCAGACACAAAAATGCTAAAGACATCACGCTTTTGTCATCTTTCCCAATTTTCCACAATGCGAGTCCACTGTTCTTTTTATCATACGCGTGCACTCTCATTACTTATTACAACCCTTTCATAATGAGTTCTTATAGTTATAACGTCCCCTTTTTTTTTTTTT